ACACACACACACACACACACACACACACACACACACACACACACACATTTCTCAAAGTTCATTTACAACATAAATGTTTAGGTCTTTCGATGATTCACAGCCTGAGCCCGCCGTCTAGAGAACACTATCGGAACAACGGCTGCCGCCAATAATGTCAGGCCTAGAAGTGGTCGATGAGCAATCCAGCCAATTGCTATGGTAACCAGCGTCAATGACGTGGCAAGGCAGAGGGTTAACAGAGTCAGGCCCAGGCCTACAAGTTCACGGACAACTGGCAACCAGGAGACTAAGAAAAAACGAGAGAGAGTGAGAGCTTGCCTTGTGAAATCGTTCTGAGACGAAATCCGATAGAAAATCGAACAATTTCAGTTTCAAGTGGACAAAAACCTTGTACCAGAAAAAGATAAATAAGTATATCATAGTCCTTTTTGGAGTTTCAAAAGCTAAAGATATAAACGGTTTCCTGAAGTAACACCAAAAACAATTTCCCATGAGAGCGCGAGAAAATAAATTTCAAAGTTAAGAGAAATTATGCAAAGACAGGTAAAATTTCATTTCACCAGTACTTTCGAGTGTCTCATTTGAAGTTAAAAATTTGTTTTAGACATTTGATGTTGTTAGAAATGATCTCTTTTGAGAACATATCATAAACAGTCGTACAGAAGTTTCCAATACGATGTAAATAATCTTGGTTCAAAGTTTTTGTTCACTTGTTATTTGAACTTAAGGTGGATTTCCTCATTAAAACGTTGGGTGACAGTTCAGACTGGCTTGGGTAAGCAGTGCTTAGTATAAAGATGATGGGAGTACATTTTCTCTTTGTCACTTTTTTTACGGGGGGGGGGGTATCATGCACGTTGCATGTGCTCCCGTCAGTTTTTAGGCCTCGACCACTCTAATGCGTTTTCGTATAAAAACACATACTTTTCGTTGCATTTTCGCCTATCGTCCACACTAAAAACGACCNAGAGTCAGGCCCAGGCCTACAAGTTCACGGACAACTGGCAACCAGGAAACTAAGAAAAAACAAGAGAGAGTGAGAGTTTGCCTTGTGAAATCGTTCTAAGACGAAATCCGATAGAAAATCGAACAATTTCAGTTTTAAGTGGACAAAAACCTTGTACCAGAAAAAAAATAAGTAAGTATATCACAGTCCTTTTTGGAGTTTCAAAAGCTAAAGATATAAACAGTTTGCTGAAATAACACCAAAAACAACTTCCCATGGGAACTCGAGAAAATAAATTTCAAAGTTAAGAGAAATTAAGAGTGTCTCATTTGAACTCCAAAATTTGTTTTAGACATTTGATGTTGTTAGAAATGATCTCTTTTGAGAACATATTATAAACAGTCGTACAGAAGTTTCCAATACGATGTAAATAATCTTGGTACAAAGTTTTTGTTCACTTGTTACTTGAACTTAAGGTGGATTTCCTCTTTTAAAACGTTGGGTGACAGTTAATATGGCTTGGGTAAGCAGTGCTTAGTGTAAAGATGATGGGAGTACATTTTCTCTTTGTCACTTTTTTTACAGGGGGGGTGGGTGGAGGACGGATTAACAATGAAAGTCTAAGTTACTCACTCAGCGCGCAAAGAATGCTGGTCGTCATCTGAAATCCAAGTAACATCAAAATCCATCCCACCCCTCTCAAAACCCATGTCAAGGCTGTGTTGGTGGACTGCTCGGCATCAAAAATTTCCTACAGCAATAAAACACAATTAAAATTTTACTTAATAATTAAACAGGGCTGCAGGAAAACTTACTTACCACGTGGACGCTTTGCTAAACACAGGCACGAAAATATACGACTATTATTTTACCCCAAATTAAAGTTATTACCTTAAAATATAAGAACACTTCTCATCTA